AAGAGTCTCAGGTTAGTCATCATTTCAACTACAGACTCCTCGAGTCTTTCCAGTTCCTGACCATTCCAGACACAGCCGGTCCAGGGAATGTCTTCCCAGGAAGCTTGCGGTCAAGCCGGCTTACGAAAAAACGACCTTGACTAGTTCCGTTTCAAAGCTGCACGATGCACATGAAATATCAAAAGTTCTGGGAAGTTCTACAGCTAAGAATGTTTCTCCCAATTTGTTCTAAACTTTCCTCACCGTGGAACCTTTTAGGTAAATTGCTGTGGGATGTTCTGTATGTCAAATGTGTTGCTGATTAGTCAATAATTAAAACACTGATTGGCCATTGGCTAGGCAGGAAGTGTAGGCGGGACAAGGAGGAGAATAAAGCTGGGAAGTGGAAGGCTGAGTCAGAGAGACACTGCCAGCCGCCATGATGAGAAACAACAGCATGTGAAGATGCCGGTAAGCCACGAGCCATGTGGCAAGGTATAGATTTATAAAAATGGATTAATTTAAGCTGAAAGAACAGTTAGCAAGAAGCCTGCCATGGCCATACAGTTTGAAACCAATACAAGTCTCTGTGTTTACTTGGTTGGGTTTGAGCGGCTGTGGGGCTGGCAGGTGAGAGAGATTTATCCTGACTGTGGGCCAGGCAGGAAAACTCTAGCAACAGTAAATGCCTATTCACACTTCCTTAAACTGACCAGTTGCGTTCCCAGAAGCCTGGTCAAAGCTCGCCCTCCAAAGGCTCCCTTACTTCAGGTGGCTGGCACGCCCCCTGCTGGCTAACGTGCCGTGGGCATTATATAAGCTATTTTTACCCTCTAACAAAAACACATGTTCGTGTTCCTGTACTCTCGATTAGATTTTTGGTTACGTTTACCATGCTGTGATAGGAAATCACAGTTCACTGCAGTCTGATTACAAAAACAATGGGCTTGTCAATTTTCAAAAGTGATTTGTTTCAATTATTTTGTGTGTGTATGAGTTCAGAATGTAAATAGAGTACATACTCCCTAAGAGTGTGTATGGAGGTTAAAAGACAGTTTTGTGGAGTCAGTTCTCTTCTTCCACCTTTATGTGGGTCCTGGGGATTGAACACAGGTCAGCAGGCTTTCACAGCAGGTGCTTTAACCTGCTGAGCTGCATCACCAGCCCCCAAAGGAGGTTTTAGTGAAGACTCCCCAATACTGAAGTCAGACCATGCAAATCAATGCTAGATGTCAGTGCCCATGAATATGGATAAAAATATGAGCAAAGAATGATCATGGGTCCTTCGGGAGTCTTACAGATTATTCACTCGGACTAAAACATTCGATTCTTCTCGTTCATTTGTTTATTAAGTATTGCAGGGCTGGGATCAACCCCCATGCTCTGTTTGTGAGGACAGTGACCTCACAGGAGCTATGGTCATGGTGAGTTCACTTTAGCAGAGTCCTTTGACATCTAGCGGTGGACACACTAATCCACAATTCCACCTGAGTCAGAGTTGACACATTTGGATTCAGTGTCACTACTGCTGTTTCAAATTTTTATCACCACATATTAATTGTGCAAAGTAATGGGCTTGTCGTCACAACTTCATACGTGCATATAACGCACTTTGGTCATAGTCCTCCATGCCCACGACCTTGTTTTCTCTCACCCACCAGTTCTTTCTCCTTTCCTATCGATAATATGTTGTTTTAACTTTGGCACAGTGGCTGCGCCTTAATCTACTGCTTTTTCAGCCACCAATTGAGACTCCACTTCTTTTCTGGCAGCAGCCTGGCTGCTCAGGCCACAGCCTGGCAGGAATTCTGTTCCAAGGCACTGACTCTGCCGCTTCTGCTAAAGGTGACTTTACCTAAATCTCTATTGTTCTATTTATAAATAAGACTTGAGATTCAAAGGCTGGGGTGAAAACCTGCTAGCTCAGAGAGGTTGAGTAGCACCTAGATAAACAAAAAAAAAAAATGAAAAAAACCTGCTCCACTCCAAATCCCTCCCTTCTACTTCCTGTGTCTCTCTATCTCTCCCAGATGCCCTCTGATGCTCTAGGGTTACTTTCTGTTAACTAGATGCTGACCCAGCCTCCTGACCCAAAGTTAATTTTATTTAATTAATGCAAATGCAAATTCAGGGTTTACAGTGTGATCGAATATCCCCCAACACTTTTACTTCATCCTTTTTTCACCCCTAATCCCACAAGTGAGAGAAGATGTGCGTGTTTGTGTGTGTGAGACTAGCTTGACATGAAGACATACAGATCCATCAGTTTCCCCAAAAGACACTTTTCTTTATGGCTCAGTGAAATCCCGCTGTGCACACCTCATTTGCTGGTTGTATACCTTGGCTAATGTAGGCAGCGTGTAGATGTGCAGGTGATTTTATTCCTTCTGGTAGAGAGTTGAATCAATACTAGGTCTAATCTAGTTTTTTGAGAAAACTCCGTACTGGTTTCCATACAGCTTGTGCAAATTTACACTCCCACCAACAATGTGTGAGGGCTCTCCTCACCTCGTCCTTGCCAACATTATTTGTTGGTTTATTTTCTTGTTAGTAGCCAATTAAAGTACGATAGAATTCCAATTTTGCTTAACTTGTATTTCCCTAATGTCTAAAATCGCTGAACATTTTTTATGAATTTATTGGCTATTTGTATTTCTTCATTTGAAAGGGGTCTATTTGGGTCATTTGAACATTTATTGACTGGGTTATTTGCTCCTCTAGTGTTTTAATTTTGTGAGTTCTTCATGTGCTTTGGATATTAATCCTTGTTGGATGAGAAACCGACACAGATTTCCTCCTCTCCTGTAGGCTCCTCACTCTGCTAACTGCTTCTTTTGCTGCACTGTTTTTTGTTTTTTAGTTTAAAACACCTCCATTTGTGAAGTCTTATTATTATTATTTCCTCAGCGGCTGGACTCCTATTCAAATGGCCTCAACTCTGCCTATGTCTTATAGTGTTTCCAGCATGTTCTCTCAGTTTCAGACTTTTAGGTCCTACATTAAGGTCCTTGATCCATTTTGACTTGATTTTTGTACAAGGTGAGATTTTTACACAGAGACCTAGCCTCATTCATCTGCACACCAACACCCAGTTTCCCAGCATCGCTTAGAAGAGGCGGTCCTTTTTCCAGTGTGTATTTCCTCTTCTCTTGTCAAAACCAGATGGCTGGAGCTATAAGAGTTTATTTCTGAGTTCCTCGAGCACATCTCCAGCCCAAATGTCACCACTTTGGGTGGATGTAATTGTTAAAATGATATCATGATCATTTCTAGGAGGGAAAAAAGAAATAAAAGAATTATAGAGAACACGATAGGGGCAATAAAGGGTGATTTATTTGGAAAGATCTTGGTTTATTCCATATTTGTTTATAGACTGCCGTGTAATTTGAGAGGAAAATCTGAAAATATTTTCTACAAATACTCTTTCACAGTTTGCCTTGTTTACTATCCCATTTTAGAACAATGCATATTGCTAGCAGAATTTTCCAACAAAACCACCGTTTTGTTTGTATAAACAAAGGCTCACGGGCACACACAGCTGCTCCCTGACCCCACACGGTGGACGAGAGCCGGGCAATCCGTTCTCTTCTTTGTCTCTCACGTCTTCCCTCCATCTTATTGTCTCATCTGGATTTCTCCAAGAGGCCTTTCCCCCGGGAGGGGCAGCAGCCTGGACTGCAGTCTGTCGACTTTCCTGGAGCAAAGGTCCTGATGTTCCAGATTTCAACATTTGGAGAAAACCCTTGAGGGGTTATGCAGTATTTGCCAACACTTTCAGGAAATACACAGGCAGTGTGGCAGCCTCAGTTCAAAAGTTCTAAAATCCTGTCCCCAGAACACCATCCCCAGTGTTCAAAGATGGATTCTATCATGATCAATGACATTAAAATGCACAGGCTCTAGAGATGAGTACAAACAGCTTGCTCTTGGAGAGGACCTGAGTTCTATCCCCCACACCCTTGTCAGACGGTTGCTGTTGCTTATACCTCCAGCTCCAGGGCCTCCAATGCCCTCTTCTGGCCTCCACAGGCAACTGCACACATGTGGCTTACATACATGTGTATACACACAAATAAAAATTAAAAATACATTTTTTAAATGCTGATTCCTGGGGTTTGCCTGGGACTCAGTTTCTGAAGTCAGGGAAGGCAGCTTTTCTTCTGGAACATTGCTTCTCAGCACCACTGTAGTCACCTGAGGCAGAAACAGGGTTAGGAAGAACTGAGGGGTGGCTTGGCCAAACGCTAAGAACTGAGCAGTGCTGCTCCAGGAGCAGACAAAATAAAGGACAAACAAAAATTCGATTTCATTTTGATTTGCCGAAGAAATGTTGGTGGAGCTGGAGAAGTGTGGCCAGGCAAACACTAACCGTGTAGAGAACAATTATGCACGAAGGATTCCTGAGTCAAGGGCTGAATTCTGTGATTACTCAGCCCCAGAGTTTGCCATGATTCTTAACCCTGGCAATTCTTTACAATGCTCAGGACTTGGCTTTTTAGCGGTAACCCTCAAGGCTGACTGTATCAGAACCTGAGGTTGTATGCGGGGTCCTTGTTATTTTAACAGTCCAGAATGACTGTCCTGTGACCGGTCCAGCAGGCATACGACTGCTCTGTGACACACAGACACTGTTGAGTCTCCTGTTGTTGAAATCACAAACAGCTAATGTTATTTCCCAGCTCTATGAGATTAGGTCCTCGAGGACTGTTCTTTCATCTTCAGCTCCTATCTCCTAAGCCACCATCTTTCAGATTTACATTATTTGTGATAGTATCAATAGGCAAGTAATTTTGCCTAGTGCCTTCTTGCCATAATTATGAAGCAGTGTTTTTTTTTTTAGCTCAACAGCTACAAGTTGGATAACTTACAAATGAGTGAAAATCCACGTGTTTGGAATGGAGGTAGTATTTGTGGAATTTTGTGACCTGTTGCCTGGTAACTGTACCTAAGACTGTTAAGCTTCTCTCTGTGAGCTGTCAGATTTCAGAAGCTTGGTTGCCCAGTCCATAGCTTCTTACTACTAGAAGGAGATGAGCGCTTCACTATGCCCAGGGCTTGAAAAGCTGCAACTCGTAGCAGCCCTCTCCTAGCCATGTCCCACTTCTTCTACCTGGCTCCAGAAATCCTGCTCCCCTTCAGCCCTCTCACTTCTGAAGAGTTCGAGCTGATCAGACACAAGGCCAGAGAGCTGTGGCAGGAGGAGACGCGGTGGACCGCTTCTTCGGTGACAACCTACTCAGGCAGTTACGGGCAAAAGCAACTGGATGAAGCCACCTGCAACCGACTGGCCCAAAGACCGGGCCAGCAGCAGTTTGAGTACAAACGGTAAGATCCCTTTGTGATGGGTGCCAGGATATGTCGCTATCAAGAGACAGGTGCCATTCGAAAGGGGTGTTGGAGAGCTGGGGAGACTTCAAAGATGTTAACCGTCTGCTTCCTGTGTGCATGTCACTTACCAGGATGGCTCCTATCCAAATGGTATATAACGACTGATTACTGGAAGATACGGATATGAGAGTTTGACTAACGTCGATATTTTTATTTTGCGAACTTGTCTATTATTACATTTATTGTGTGTGTGTGTGTGTGTGTGGTCACGTGGGGAGGTCAGAGGACAGCCCCCAGGATCAGTTCTCTCCTTCGATCTGCTGAGTGTCTGGAATCAAACTCTGGTTATTGGGCTTGCTATCCTTGGAGCCGCCGTGCTGCCCCTCCCCTCTTTTAGACCGGGTCTCTTGTATCCCAGACTCCCTCAAACTCACTCTGTTGCCCAGAGCAACCGTAAACTCAGGATCCTCCACCTCTTTAGTGCAGGAAACACAGGCATGAGCCAGCACACCCAGATTACATGTGTGGTACTGGGCGTCAAACCCCAGACCTAACAACGGGACTGACATCCTTAGGCCTGAAATGTGGCTTCTGAGAGTTTCTTTTGTTTCCTGTAGTCCTTCCTTTTGCAGAAAGGCGAGCAAACCCACCAAGGATGTACACCGGGGCTTATGGGTGCCGAAAGGGCTGAGGCCCAAAGGTATTTCCAAGGGTTTATTGGGAACCCAGGCCCTGTGGTAGACCCACTGTCAAAAATTAATTCCAATTCAATTCTGAAACAACAGATATGAGCACTCGACTCAGGGAAAGGAGGTCTCATCAGCAGGTCCTGAAGGAGAGGGCTCAGCATAGTGAGGGCTTCTGGAAAGAGCTAAGGCAAGCTTCCCCGTGGTGGGAATAGGAAAAACACGCCATTCCGAGGAAAGCATGTGCCCCTGGGCAAAGATGCCTGAAAACGCTGCATGCCAGAAGCCTTTAGATAGCTCAGTGCACATGAGCAGAAAATGTAAGTCTGGACTCCGGAAAACTCCAGGGCTAATTATGAAATCTGTCCCTTTTGGTGTTATTTAGCAAATATCCAAATTCTGGAAACTTCTTTGAAAATACCTTGGATTATTGGCTCCAATTCCTGATGTAATATTTGAATAACCCATGTATGGCTCTACTAAATGGCAGTTATGGGGCTGGAGAGATGGTTTAGCTCTTAGGAGCACTGGCTGCTCTTGCAGAGAACCAGAGTTCAGTTCCCAGAATATGCATGTTGGGTAGCTTAGAAGTACCCGTAACTCCAGCTTTAGGAGAGATGATGCCTTCTGGCCTTGCATGTGGCTCTCTCTCTCTCTCTCTTCCTCTCTCTCTCTCTCTCAATAAAATATTAAACAAATATATTAGTTACCTCGCCTTCCAGAGCTTTCCAACTCATGAAAATCACGTGCATTATCCCACTTTCCCCAGCACTCTTTGTAACAGCTCTCAAGCCTGTCGCCATCTCAGTCAGCTTTGCCGGTTCCTCTGCTAAGTCTGAGGCTGTTGGGGAGTCCCTTGGCCAGGGACAGGATCTTTAAATGTTACTGAGATCTGCTCTAAAAACACATGGATCCAAATAGACCCATGCAACAAACTTTTTATTGTTTAATATGTTTAATAGACCTTAAAATGTGCCGAAAATGCACATAACTTTGAATTTGTTTCTCATTGTGTGATTCATCCCAGTCAGGAAGCCCAGAACATTGAAAACCACAAAAGGGCACATGCTTATGACATTTATCTGGATGTTTTTGGAATCTCAGACACTTCAATATATCCATTGCACAACTACTGTCCTGTAAGAGGCTAAAATGCAAAAATGAGAGCGAGGGGCAAGTTGAGCTTGATTGCAAAGTTCTGACAGCATGCTATATTGGCTTTGTTTTTAATCTTTCTCTTTACTAATTTTAGTCCAGAGGAGAAATGTCTTCTAAAGTTCCAAGCAAAAGCTGTTTAATTAAAAATTTTGTGAAACTGTAGTGTGTGGTGATATTGTGCTCCCCAAAATATTGTGCACCCTAATAAACTTATCTGGGGTCAGAGAACAGAACAGCCACTAGATATAGAGGCCAGAAAATGATGGCACTCACACCTTTAATCCTAGCATTCCAGAGGCAGAGATCCGCCTGGATCTCTGAGTTCAAGGCCACACTGGAAACAGCCAGGCATGGTAACAAGAGCCTTTAATCCCAGGAAGTGAGCACAGAAAGCAGAAAGGTATATAAGGTGTGGAAACCAGGAACTAGAGGCTGGTTAAGCTTTTAGGCTTTTGAGCAACAGTTCAGCTGAGATCTATTTGAATGAGGACTCAGAGGCTGAGGAATTGGCAAGGTGAGGAAGCTGTGGCTTGTTTTGCTTCTCTGATCTTCCAACATTCACCCCAATACCTGGCTCCAGGTTTGTTTTCATTAATAAGACTTTCTAAGATTCGTGCTACATCTGGCGCCCAACGTTCGTGGTACGAATTCATGAAAAAGCTGCTTGCCTGTGGCCTTGTGGGCCCCAGCTCAGGCCCGAGCAATGCTTGGCCAGTTGTGGTGGTGCACGCCCATAGGATTTACTTAAGGAGGCAGAGGCAGGAGGATCCCGAGTTTGAGGCCAGCCTAGGAGGCTTGCTCAGGAGAAGCTTCGGCTGGGCTGAGCCAGAAACAGTGGTGGGACCATGGAGGCAGAGACTGCTGCTCCGAGTTGCTGGCTGCTTCTCATCGTGTTGGTGACTGCGGTGATGCTGCTACCTGGGACAAAAGGTTTACTGCTTCTTGTTCAGAGAAGAATTGCCAGGACCATCATGTTACAAGAAAGCATCAGTAAAGGTCAGTTTGGAAAAGTTTGGCAAGACAAATGGTGGGGAGAAATTGCTGTGAAGATATTCTCTTCTAGGGAAGAACGTGCATGGTTCCAAGAGACAGACATTTATCAGACTGTGATTGCTCCAAACCATGGAGGAGGCAAAAAAAAAAGTCTGCAGGGAACCATGACCATGACTAACAGCAACTTTGAAATCTTCAAAAGGATGATGGGACTCCACAATGATGATTCCGCATGGACTATGATAAAGCCATTAAGCTGATTAACACCACGGAAAGATCGACCTTGAATTACAAACTACTCAGGACAATTTTGAGATGGCTAGCTGAGATGATCCAGCCTGACAGACTACTTGAACAGGGACTTGAAACAAACCCTGCACTTTCTCATTATGCAGCGACTTGGACAAATGATACAGGACTTGACAATTAACCCCAAAATTTTCTTTTCAGGATTCCCTAAAGATGCCTTCACCCCCCAGAAAGCAGGAAGTCATTTTAAGAAAATGCCCACATTCCCAAGATGTGGGATGGGAGGTTTTTGGTTGTTTAATGAGTTACGGATATTGTCATTGTTTGTGATGGTTGGTTATAAGTTGTTAATTGCTAATGGTCAGGGAAAAAGCTGAACAAGGAGATTAGATTCAGAGTTTTTGTTTAAAAAAAAAGAAAGAAAGAAGAGAATATAGATATGAGGTAGATCATTGAATCTATTCTGAGAAAAAAGATAAAGGAATAATAGAATAAATGGATAGATCATTGAATCTACTCTAAAAAGAAAAAGGGGAAGATATAAAAATGACAAAAGGTAGATTATTGAATCTATTATGAAAAGAAAAAAGAGAGAATATAAATATGATAAGATAAAAAGGTCAATTTTTGAATCTACTTTTTAAAAGGAACTACTTGTTTTAAATAGGATAAGTAATGAAAATTTTTTTCTGAATTTGTCAAATGTTAATGGACTAGACATTGTTAATGTAATTCTTGACTGTATATATTGTATATACTTTTTGGATACAGTTCTTCTTGTATTAGTTATAAGCTTTTTTAAATTTTAGACAAAAAAGACAGCAGAAAGTTGTAATAAAATATTCCATAGAAACCAAAGGAAGAAAAAAGAGATCCAACTGGTTTTTACAAAAGTTTTTTTGTGGTGGTATTGTGTTCCTCAAAATATTGTACACTGCCGGGCGGTGGTGGCACACGCCTTTAATCCCAGCACTCGGGAGGCAGAGCCAGGCGGATCTCTGTGAGTTCGAGGCCAGCCTGGTCTACAGAGCGAGATCCAGGAAAGGCGCAAAGCTACACAGAGAAACCCTGTCTCGAAAAACCAAAAAAAAAAAAAAAAAAAAAAAAAAAAAAAAAAAAAAAATATTGTACACCCTAATAAACTTATCTGGGGTCAGAGAACAGAACAGCCACTAGGCACAGAGGCCAGAAAATGGTGGCACACACGCCTTTAATCCTAGCATTCCAGAGGCAGAGATCCACTTGGATCTCTGAGTTCAAGGCCACACTGGAAACAGCCAGGCATGGTGACTCACACCTTTAATCCCAGGAACTGACAGCAGAAAGCAGAAAGGTATATAAGGCGTGAAAAACCAGGAACTAGAGCTGGTTAAGCTTTCAGGCTTTTGAGCATTGAACAGTTCAGCTGAGATTCATTTGGGTGAGGACACAGAGGCTTCCAGTCTGAGGAAACAGGATCAGCTGAGAAATTGGCAAGGTGAGGTAGCTGTGGCTTGTTTTGCTTCTCTGATCTTCCAGCATTCACCCCAATACCTGGCTCTAGGTTTGTTTTTATTAATAAGACTTTCTAAGATTCGTGCTACAGTAGGGAGACATTTTTTATGATACTAAAAGGTCTTCCATGTAAAGACTGTACAAATGCAGGTGCACAGCATGGTCACAGGGACTGTTTATGGTGCAGCGAGGGCATCCGAATAAAAATGGAAATGGTCATTTAAAATGTGGTAAGCCAGGGAAATTCTGCACTAGAACACAATACTTTCATTCACATCATTTATCCTGTGTTTGCAATCATATCCTGAACCACACCATTTGTTCTTAGTTAGCCTTAACTGTCAACTTGCCACAGTTTTCTGTCACCTGGCAGGAAAGTCTCAAGTGAGGAAATACCCAGGTCAGATTGTGGGCATG